GAGTAGACGACGAAGACGACGACGATGACGACGACGATGACGACGACGCGTGAGGTTGGGGTCAGCTGAAGCATCAAATTCTGGACGTTGCATTGTGTTTGTCTAGTATGTGGTGTGTATTGTGCTGTGCGCTAAATGTCAGTTTGATACCAAGCTAGTAAAATCCAATTAAAGTTGCATGCCACAACAGTTGCAGTTGCAAATTGCGCAGCTCGCTTGCCTCAGTTACTAGCTGGCTCTCTAGTTTTGCCTGGGTCGTTAGATGCGTACGCCACAGCACGCCAAAGTATATTTGTGGGTCATGGTACAAATTTCAAAGAGGCAGAGACAACAAACGAAAGATGCTAAAGCCGTAGACGTAGCTCTAGCTGTTGTTGTTGTTGTTCTTGTTGTTGCTGCAGCTGAAGCCAAGCTGGGCCGAAGCTGGGGCAGACACCACTCGACAGCTGTGCACTGAGATACTGACAAGAGACACCTTTTGATATGCTAACGAAGCTCCGCTCGTGCGCTGACTGTCAAAATGTTGCACATGTGAAATTTTCCCACCCTCCATTGGGAACACTTTGGGAACCTTTTGGCCATGCGCAATGCAAAGAGCCCGCAACTTGAGTGCCAAGCTGCACTCAACAAAAAATCATACTCCCAATTCTCTTCAGATAAAATGTTTGTCGTTAAACGTATTCATTCATCCAGTTTGTCGTTAAACGTATTCATTCATCCAGCTCTATTTTAAGTTACAGTTAGGCCAGAGAACTGAATTCTTTACTAAATTATGATACACATCAAATAAATAATAAAACATGATATACTTGTACGTCATAACATTAACAAACAAAAGCAATAACAGCAAAATTAATAACAGCAATTAATACGAACATTTGCATAAAATGAAAATTTAAAAGGCAATATAAACTAAATGAACATTTTTAGAGCTACATTTTCAAACTCAATACCCGAAAATTGATTATACCCTTTTATAAATAGATAGTGACATTTTGATACTTAATTATATAATTGTATATATATATATTATAGTATATCTGTAAGTCAAGCAAAGCTTGTTTGAAATTACAGATTAATTTCAGACTCAAATCTCTCTTAAAATACACACGTATATAATTGGCAAGATATTTAACAGAATGCAGAACATTTTACATTTTCTCAAGTACTTGTACAATCTTATTAGAATGCTGTTAGCAGCAGAACAATTAGCAGCGCTGCAAATGTAAATGCCTAATGGGTTTTGTTTGTATTTCTTGCATATGTTATTTGTATATTACAGAGTGTGGAGGGACAACTCTCTCTCTCTCTCCCTTTGAGCGCTCTGGTTGCAGCTAGACTCTCAGTTAGATCTTACATTAAAATTACTAAAAAGACAATTATTTAACTGCGAATTTACACAATTTATGAGCAACGCTTTTTTTTTAAGTGTGTTGCGCCTGTCGTTTCATGGCCTAAGCAAAATGTAAATTTTTGCCGCTGCCCTGCTTGCTATACATTTATATTAGTGCGCCAGACGAGGAACAGCGGTGCAACAATTTGTATGGCTGGGGAATGGTTGTGTATAGAGGCGGCAACTCTGGCTATAGTTCTGGCTCAGACTCTGCCTCTAGCTCTGGACTCTAGACTTCTGGACTGTTGGCCACGCATGAGCACAATGCGCACTCCCAATGTAATTTTTCAATGTTAAACAGTTGCCGCTGTGCTCAGGTTCCTTGTCCAGTGCTTACCCTTTTCACATGTGTGTGCATGTGTGTTTCTGTATACCTTGGGGCATTGGGCCCACCATGCTAGCAGCAACTGTGCAAATATTTGCATTTTATTTGCGGCCCAGCACACTCTTCAGGCACAGTGCCATGCATTTTTCATAACGCATCTCTGCTGAAGGAAGAGGCATTGTTAAGATCTGTAAGATCTGCTGACATCTAGTGACTACTACATATATACTTGCATATATACATACATACATACATATGTATGTACGAGTATGCGATCGTCTCTATGTTGGTCAATGATGCATTGCCCTTGCTGCTTCTGCTGACTTGTCGAAATCTTGCAAATTTCCCATGACCGATATTTTTGCTTATGGATTTGTTTCGATTCGCAACTCAACTGGCAAGGCAAGTGACATGCGCGTGCCTCTTTTTGGGCAATTGCGCGCAAGCGGTAAAAGTTGGCAGTTGGTTTTCGGCTCATTCACAAAACGAATTTGTGTCACACACACACATACTGCTTAGACGCCAGCTGCCTGGTGACCACCCCTTTATTTGGTCTTAACCCAAATACTACATGGTGGAGAAAAATGTTTACCATTTAGCCAATACTCGTACAATAGCAACAACACTAACAACAGTAGCAATGAGCAACAATAACAACGAGCAGAATAATTACCACAACGAGTTGTTGTTGCCAGTTGCTTGCAGCAACATGTTGCTGGCTGTTCTCCTGTTGACTGTAAGCCGTGTTCGTGTGTTGCTAATAACTTTAGAACAAGTGCCATTTTGGCCAGCAACTAATAGCCAGTTTGTGTCGCTTCCGTTGTCATGCCGCGTGTACCGCAGCCGATCTACAACAGCAGCAGCAGCAGCAGCGGCAGCAGCGGCAGCATCATCATTATCATCATCATTGGCCGCAGCCGTGTGAGATTATCATTATTGTTATTGTCGCTCGTCATGTCAACTCGTCATCAACATGATGCGGTTGCATCTCTACGGAGCAATCTTTCAGTTCAGCCCAGGCGGCCGCCACAGCTTGCTTTTGCTCTTTTTCTTTAACTTCTGCTCGTTGTTGTTGTTGCTGTTGTTGTTGACTCTGCAGCCGTGCAATTTGTGTCTCTCGGGCTAAGACTAACACTGAGACTGCAGATTGGAGCTGGGAGGCTGAGACTGTGCCGTTTTCCTGCATTTTAATGAGCACATTTCGCGCATTTATGATGAGCATTGCGCAGTTGGTATTAGCTGATTTTTATTTGCTTGTTTCGTTAGCGCGCTCACGAATTCTGTTGCAGCACTATATCTGGAGACGGGGTAGGCAATGGCGGTGGTAGTGGTAGGGGGGTAACAGAAACCACTCAGATTTCGACCGAAAAGCAGACGACCCCCAATACAACAACACAGAAAGAAGCAACAACAAAATTCTACAATGGCAGCTGCACAATGGGCGTGAATCGAATATAAAAGCAAATGCACTTTTTTATGGTGAAATAAATAACTAAATAGCTTTTTTTTAAAGAAGACTGAAGACTGATTAAAAATAATAACTCATGTTTATATCTGAATAAAATATTTAGTAAAATAGACTTTCTTTAGTGCACTTTTGAATAGAACGTCACTTGAATAATGTCTAGAACCGAAATGCGAGAACAAATTAACAGCGACTGTTATGCGGCTGCGGCATTGGAAAGCCCATCTGCATATCGATGCTGTAAAGCCTGTAATGTGAGAGCGAGAGCGCATCGATCTTTAAGAGAGGGACAGAACTCATAACACACTGATAACAGCCAAGAGGCATTTACATTCACTTTACATAGTAGAAATTAGTTGTTCTGATCCGAGCAGAATGTAATTGAATGTTGTATGGTTCACATTGCTTCCATTATAGTTCTTATCTTTAAAATGATTTTATTTAAAAATAATCAAATTCGCACTTTTTGTCAAATTTATGCACTATATCGTTATTTACACGTGCTTGTATTCACATCATAAAACAAATATAAATACTAATATTTATATTTAAAAATACAGGATTTCCGACATTTTCCTCAGACGTGATGTGCTCAAGCGCTCACTTAATGTCTTCTTTGAAATAAGAGTTAAAAATTTCTAAGATATTTCACTATCATGGATAATTTGAAATCCCAAATTCTCAGCTTAAAGGTCACAAACATTCCCATTGTGCTTGGGCATAAATTTTATTGCTTTTTGAAATGTACGAAATTGTATAACTTGACCCCGACCCCATCAAATGTGCGCAGGGAAAGCCACCCCTCAATGTAATGGCATCGCCACTCACGTGTTGCATCTCCAGGGACTTGATTAAAGGAGCATAAAGCAAATAAAAACAGGCTAATAAATGAAAATATGAAACGTATGTGTCGTGCCCGCTTTTTATGCCATTATGTCCACAATATATGTATACTCGTACATGTGTGTGTGTATATATAGGATGACAATGTACATAGAGTTGTCAACTGATAAGCCTTGAAATGCTAGCCAAACTAATTATAACGGCTCTGGAGATATTTGTGCGTGCCGGAAGTTTTCTTGAGTTTTTCCGGCGTGCTCCTGACATTTTCAATCAGCGAAATGTTTGCGGACAAAAACTTCACACAACTAGCCGATAAGTTTTTCCTATGTAGGCTTGTATAGTCTTGTGTAGGCATGTATCTGACGATTGCTGACCTTTTGGGGTGTGGCCAGAACAGCTAGAATTTTCGGGTATGGCCAGCAATTGCGCCTGCAAGCATGTCAGGGAAAATTGCACATCTGTCAAATCAGCAAACAAGTGATTTCCGCAAACAATTGAAGAAAAACAGCGACGGGGGATGGTGTAGCTAGCTGTCCTGCTGTAGTCCTCTTGGTGGTGGGGTCCTGTCATCGGTCACACGACCATCGACCACCCGACAAAAAAATGTGTGCTGTTTGTGCACGTAAATTGCTTTTGTAAGCCCTACATAGGCTATTGAAAATTCCTTTAAAAAAAGAAAAGAAGTGAAGCAAGGAAGGAAGGAAGAAAAAATGCGACGACAGGCAACATGCGCCTTGTCATGCTTTTTTAATGAAGTGCCGTCGTTTAAGAAACATATTGTTGGTCGCTTTGATTGTTGTTTAAGGGTTAAATAGGCGCACAGCCACAAAGCCGTGGCCAAATGTCAAACATGAATGTATTTAAGTACAACCTATACTATACGAGTATGTAGTGTGTTTGCCCGCTTAATAGCTGTCAGGGTTGCCAGCACGTACTAAAAAGCCAACTCTCCCTCTACTTCTTGTCTCTTGCAGTTACAAACACAATCAACGCCATGACAAGAAAACGTTCGAGTCCGTTGGGACTCGAATTGCTGGTGTCACTCGCGCTGGCGTCGCTCGCCGTGCTGCCGCTGCTCACAGAGGCTGGTAAGTGGTTTATTATGTCAACATAAATTATAGTTAGTGCACTAAGTAAGTAAGCACTTAAGTACCAACTAGAACTCTATGCCAAATCCTGGACTCTCTCACACACACACTCACACACAAAATAAAAATAATTTGCAGAACAAAAGCCGCTGGCCTAGATAAGATCCTGTTGCGTGGGGTGCGAGAATGGAATAACAGTAAAAATCGTCAAAGAAGAACGGAATTAATAGTAGTACCACAGGCAAATCAAAACTGAATCAATATAAATATATAAGAATCTTAAAAAAGGCACTTAACATGTCTAATCATAGCTTTACACAACATATGAGCTAAATAAAAATTAATTTATTATCAATTGAATAAGGAACAATTGAACGGCAAACATAATTATGAACTAGGAACAAGAAAAAAGGATCTGTATATTATTACACTGATCTATAAAATATGTAGGATTTTAAATACCTTTTCGATGGGGCAAGAATTTAAGAGAGAAGAGAAGACTATGATATAAGTACAACATATTCTGAAGGACTGTTTGTTGAACTGGGATGAGACCCTAAACCCAGGGAAAAGAACTATACAACTATATACTATATGTGAATTAGTCAGTCCACCAAACTTTTCGTGTAATCCAAATAATTAAAATTGGAGTCACTTTTATTTAATTAAAGTTTCCAGGTTGACAATTATTGCTACAATTTCGAGTTTTCCATATTCAATTGCTACTGTAATGCCGTTATGATGGCATATGTGCGGGTGTCCGGGCGTATCCTATTTAGCCTATAAATACCGAAGACTAGCGCTGACCCTCAACATAAACATAAACAACCACACACTTGCCGATATTTGAGCATATCGCGAGCCCATTGAACTGCAAGTTTTGCTAATTAAAGCAATTGTTGTTGGTGCAATAAAGTGACAAATTGCCAAACAGCTGTGCAGTTGTCCAGGGTCAGGGGTCATTCCATTCGTTCATTTCATTTGCCGCTTAATGCATATAAGCTGTCCAAGTCTGTTGCATTCAGCATACACACACACACACAAAATTCAATTAATGACATTTTTTCTGGCTTTTCGGGAGGGTGCGAAATTCAATTGAGTCATGGCTGATGGCAGGCCCCTTCGTCAGTCTGACACAATGGTCGCAAAAATGCAATTGCGTGGCAAAGGCAGAGTTCATGAACCCCAAAGCAAAAAATAAAAATAAAAATAAATAAAGCGTGCGTACCCAAAATTAGGTCCATTTGCACGCTCTATAATTAAAGGCAAGTAAAAGAAGCGTCAACGCCCCCTCCTCGCTTAGAAAAGGCCAGCACGGCCATTAATGGGCCGAACTAACTGACTGACTACACTTATCCGTGTAAGTATCTGAAGGCAGTTATGTGCGAGTATGTAGATCTATCTGCTGTGAGCAGCGTGTTAACTTTCACATTTCTCAATGTTTTAAAGTGCAATAAATGCCATTAGGCCAACTTAGGCACATAGCCTCAAAAAGCAGAAAGAAATAAGGAGAAAAAAATATAAAAAGAACAAGAAGAGACAACTAGGCGACGATGCTAACGGTTCGTACTTGGAAATGAGGCGGCCCACGCCCATACAATTTAACGACTTAGTTAAACAAAAGTTAAGCAAATAAACCCGAAAAGCGAAGCGCGCGCACATCGGCCCAACAATTTTCCACGCTTGAGAATATCGGTCACAAGCAGCAACAACAGAAACAGCAACTACAACAGCAATAGCAATAGCAAGAGCAACAACAAACAAATGCACACAAGACTGGGCTGCATTTCTAGTAATGGCCAAAAAGTACTTCTGATTACATGCTAGACACCTAAAAAGCTGGACGACAACGATGGCGACGATCAGACGACTTCAGCATCGACGACAATGGTGACGATGGGCGCGATGGGGCTACGGGAGGGAGTTGAGGGAGGGAGTGGGGGACGGCAGCGTGCCATTGTTTAATGGGCATTCAATAAGCAGGCAACGTGGCCAACGAACGACCAACTGACTGACTGATTTAACTTAGTCAAAACGATGGCCAGTGATACGACAACAGCAACAGCCATAACAACAACAACAACAGCTCGTCAGTGAGCACACTGAGCAAAATGCTAGAAACCCCTATAGGACATGTTAGAAGTCTCATAGAAAGATAATATTTGAAATTAGCAAAAGAACTCCTTGAACCTAGGGATCATTCGAATTCGAAAGTAAGTTGGCATGTTCAGCAAAATATTCACCATTCTTGAAACTCACCACACTCCTGGCGATGCTTATACACCATAAAATTTGTCTTGATTTAATATTAAATTGCATAAAATTTATTTGTCTGTGTTTGTTAAAGAATTAAACAACTTATAGAAATGAATTTGATTTGAAATATTATCAAGCTTAACTAGAATTTGAAATCTTTAAGCAGATTTGTAATTTCATCGAAATAAAAAAACTAATCTGTCCATTTTCGGCTTTTTTGGTTGCTCAAATAGTCTACTCGTAGTTAGAAAAATAACACCAGGATGAAGTTCCTTTGTGAATGTAGTGTTCAATAAACATTTATGTTGGAATACAGTACAATTTCGACTACAATTGAAATTAAAGAAAGCTTTGAACAGTTAGAAACTTCTATACATCAGTGTTGTAACAATACTTGGATGGCTCAGTTAGTTCTCAAATTGCAATTCAAATTATTGGAGCACTACTTAATAATAGGTTGAACAAAATTCCGCTGTAAAATATTGTAGTAGCTAGTTAGAAAGAAGCTTTTGCAGGTTTAATCGATTCACGTCAGAAAACACTTTCAACTTGAGAACATTGTCTGCATCTTCATCATTATGCATTTCTCTGAGTGTAAGCGGTGCCTTGCGCCTGGGCCTAGCTTGTTGACCCACATTTGGCCCTGACTGCAAAGACAGCAACAGCAGCAGCAGCATTGCTTACTGGCCTAACGACATTGTGGCTATGCATTGAATTCTTGGAATTTTCATTAACACATGCCAACGTCCAGTCAGTCATTCAGTTACTCAGTCCAGTCAATACAGTCAGCATATGGAAATGTTCCCAAAAGAAAAAAAAGAGAAGAGAAATAGAAATAGAAAATACATACATATCTTGTGTGTGGAGGCAGCTTGAATATTTTGTGAATGGCAGGAGCGCCCCGTCGACTTTTCTCACCTATTTATTGATTACTTATTATGTAGACAGATAAATCAGTTACATTAACAGGCACAGGCACAGGCCGACAAGCCCATAAGCCGCTCAATGAGTGGTGGAGGGCCACTTCAGTTTGATGAACTTACATGGCGTTTTGAGAATGTTTACAAGAATTTCTCAACTTGCCCTGTAATTGAATTGTTCATTATAAATACAAATGGATACAAATGGCCGAGGCCGATGCCGATGCCAATGGAGATGGCGTACCAAGTCTCCGGCTCGAGAAAGGTGCACACAAAGCGCCGATGACTCAACAGCCCACAATCGACATTCGAGAGTCGAGAGTCGAGAGCCGAGAGTCTAGAGATGAAGTTACAGTTCTATGGATGGATACATTTGTAGCTCGTAGACATTATTGACAGCTGTGCGCATGTGAGCAATAAATCAATAATGTTGCCAAATGTCAGTTAAGAGTAGCAATAGTCCCAGCCAGCCATGATTAATATGCGAAGATCGGCCACAGCAACAACATCAACAACAACAATCAAGCCAAATTGAAATGGCAAGCTGTTGAGGCAATCGACAAGTCGACAAGTGGCATTTGCGTCATAACAAAAAACTTTGCATTTTAAAATATATAAAGCAGATGTCGTCGACAATTGGCAGTCCATAGATATCCGTACGTGTATTTGTTCAACAATTCATGAGTCGAACTTCAAATATTTCGCATGATATCTGGCCACTTAATGGCTTTAACCGTTGAAGCGCGAGCCCTTAGGCGTCTTATGTAATTGTATTTAAGCCCCAACTTCAGCCACAGACTGACCACATCGTGTTTTTAATTCAAGCTCAAGGTCGGCAACGAGGCAACAGGTGTCGTCAGTTCCAGAATTTCAGAGCCTCGCCATCTCGCAGTCCTCCAATCGTGCTGCCTCTCAGTAGCCCAAACACATTATCATTATTTTATAAGCCAAAATAAGAGAGAAGCAAGCAAAAACAAAACAAAACAAAACCAAACAACAAGGAACACAACAAGGCAAAAGTGCTGGCTTAAAGTCGCGCCTGCCTTTTGGCCATGTGCTGGGGCCCGCCCGCTTGCCTGCTTATTTTCGAGGGGCGTTTTCATCAATCAATTTTGAACGTGAGTTCGCTGCTTGCCGTCTTCGTTCCTCATCTTTTTTTCTCATGCCTATTATGGTATGGGACTTGGTTGTTATTGTTATTGTTGTTGTTGTTGTTCCCGTGTACAACAACAGGTGCTGCTAATTTTCAATACTTACTTTATTATGGGGCCGGGCAATTGACACCTAAACGCCTGCTTGGCATCGTCGCGTTTTTCGAAAAAAAAAAATAATAATAAAACTGAAAAAAACTGATAAGTCACTGAACTCGCCACAGAAGCAAGCCAGCAGCTACTCAAGTATTATGTGGACACTCTCTTCAGGCATAATGCGGCTAATTGCAGGCTCCAGCAGCTAACTAGGTAGCCACCCAGCCCTGGTAATCATGCTTGTCATTACACCAACATGGCTATAAAACGAAAACCCCAAACGAATTGCCGCCAGGGCTTGAACTTCAACAGCGGGAGCCTGTTTGCTCACATACTATGTACATAAATCACGTACATACATATATAAGTATATGGTACGTATTTATTTATTAGCCAGGGCAATGAAAATTTGCTATTTTATAGTTTTTCTATGATTTCTTAATTTATAACCAATTACAAAGGCATTAGTGCGCACAAATCTTGTTCGCTTATTTTTTTCTTTTTCTGTTGTCTTGTCGCGGTTGTTTTCTTTTTGTTTATTGCGCATATTAATCGCTTGTTTATAGCCAGGCGTTTC